AGCGGATGTTGGTTGAATTTTGATATATTTTGCATAATGCCCAGGCGTCTTCTACCGAGACAGAGAATGTTTCCACAGCCCAGAAAGGCCCCTCTGCCTCCCCCAGCAACCACTCCTCTGACTTGTGTTGCCACAGATTGACAGCTCCCGTGCTTCATCAGAAGGGAAGCACGAGCCAGGCACGGCTCACGACTGTCATCCCAGATACTCAGGAAGCAGAGATATGCAGCAAAAGATCATTAAGCTAGGGTGACTTTTTTTTTTTTTTTTTTTTTGGCTAGCCAGCCTTTCTCTATGGAAGACACCATGCACAGATTCACATCCAGAAGCAACTTCTTTCATCCAAGTAGTGACACCAGAAACACATGCTGCTATGGCAGCTGCTCCCTCTGAGAACATATAGATATACACAAAATGACTGATTCGGTTTACTGATATGTAATGATTCAAAGACTCAAATGGGCTGGACATGGTGGCGCATGCCTATAATCTCAGCACTTGGAAGGCTGAGGCAGGAGGATCACTGTGAGATCAAGGCCAGCCTGGGCTACAAAGTGAGTTCAAGGCCAGCTTGAACTGCATAGAAAGACCTTGTCTCCAAAAAGAAAAACAAACAAAAAAAAAAGACTTGACTGGTTTTTCAGCTCTGCTATCAGTTAGCAGCAAAAGGGCGCATAGAATATATTCATGCAATCGCCAGGGGTAGTGGCACACGCCTGTAATCCCAGCACTTGGGAGGCTGAGGCAGGAGGATCATTGCAAATTCGAGACCAGCCTGGGTTACAAAGTGAGCTCAAGGCCAGCCTGAACTGCATAGTGAGACCCTGTCTCTTTTTTTTTTTTTTTGTGGTACAGGTGATTGAACTCACAACCTTGCGCTTGCCAGGCAGGCACTTATGCCACTGTGCTATATCCCCAGCCCTGTGAGACCCTGTCTAAAAAAGACAAGAAAAAGAATATACTGGTGCACACCCTCCTGAGAAATACATCGCACTAAACAGGCACTGCGGCTCTGTTGTCGACATCAGTAGACTCATGCACCTCGCATACCACAGCGACTTGTTCACCCTAACAAACGCGCCTCAGTACCCTCTGCTATTTCACCTGCTCCTTTAGTCACGGGGCTAGCTGAAACAGGAACATGTGCCACTTTCTGAACTGCAGCCTCTCCTAAATCTTAGCAGCAAGCAGGATTGGCTCTTCACCAGTCGTAAGGGGCTCCTCAGCGTTAGCAGTGCAGTTCGCCAGAAAGAATGGCACTCCCAGAGCACACACATCTGATGAAGTGGTGACTTCAGTAATTACTTCTGTGGGGGGTTTTGTTGTTGATCTTTTGAGAAACTGCAAATATTTGTCTTTCAACGGCGGAGGCTTAGTCTCAATGTGGTGAAGAGGTTTGAAGACTTCATATCTTCTCTGGCTAGCTGGTCACCACGTATTACACAAAGTGGGCATGGAGAATGTGAATCGCCTATTGCAACGAATTCATAATTTAAGTGGAACGCTTGGTATTTTCTTTTTTTTTTTTTTGGTTTTTCTCCGGTACCGGGAACCGAACTAACGACCTTGCACTTGCCAGGCAGGCGCTTTTGCCGCTGAGCTAAAGCCCCAGCCCGGTATTTTCTTTTAAATGCATCCTTTCTTTCGTTGGCAGTTGTACAGTCTTCTACTGTCTCATTATTGAGTCTTTCACCATTACCAAAGATAGTCTCCAGTGAATGTTATTTTTTACTCACTATAGCTAAGGTTAGCTATGAGCTCACCAAAATTCTGACTGGGACAAGGGCTCAGTTCAGGAACAAGGTGTGGATGGAAGCGGTAAATAAAACAATGGACAGGCCATGCATGGACTGAAATGAGTGTCAGATTCTGACTTAAAGCCTGCCACCAGATGCAGCTTAACTGTCACTTGCCGCAAACTAATTGGGCTTTGATATGAGTCTGCAAGCAACTGATCCATTAGGGCTCAGTCAAGCCTCTCTGCTAATGTTAGTCTGTATTTGCAGCCACTCTTCTGTGCTAACATGACCACCTCAGCTCCACCTCTGCTCATCAGGCATTTGGTTCTCCTAAAGAGCCTCAACCTAGTTGAGGCTTACATGCACAGTTCACAGTAGGGTTCAAGCTCCTATGAGAATCTAATGCCACACTGATCTGACAGGAGGTGGAGCTCAGACAGTAATATGAGTGAAGATGTGAGTATGGATAAGGGTTCACTCATTCTTCCACAGCTCACCTCCTGTCATGTGGCCTAGTTCCTACCAAGCCACAGACCAGCACAGTCCGTGGCCTGGGCATTGGAGAGCCCCGCTTTAATCACAGCATTGAGTCAGGCATGGTGGTGCATGTCTATCATTCCATCACTCTGGGAGGCTGAGGCAGGAGGATTACAAGTTGTAGCTCACCCTGGGCAACTAGCAACTTAATGAGACCCTGTCTCACAATAAAAATTTAAGAAGGGCTGGGGGCTGGGCATGGTGGTGGCACATGCCTGTAATCTGAACAATAAAGGCTGAGGCAGGAGGATAATCATAAGTTCAAGGCCAGTCTGAACTACATATGAGTTGATGAAGACCAGCCTGGAATACATAGCAAGACCCTATCTCAAAAAAGAGGAGAGGTGCTGGGGATGAAACTCAGCATGAGGGCCCTGGGTTCAACTCTCAGTACTAAAATAAACAAGCAGACAAACACAGCACCAGAGCAGGACAGACTGTTGTTTTGGGTGTGTACACTTTTAGTTTTATTTTAATAAAGCAACTTGCACACTGTAATGTTTAAAGCTGAACATTTTCTCTCCTTTCCAGTGAAAACAAAAATTAACATTTTAAAAATTAACATTTTTTTAAAAAACTATAATGGAGAATGTCAGTTTCAAATAAGATTCTACATCATTAGGAAAGAGTTTTATTTTGAAAGTGTCATCTCAAACTGCAAAGATGTCCATTAAACATCATGATTAGCTGAGTATAGTGGGGCATGCCCATAATCCCAGCACTTTGGGAAGCTGAGGCAGGAGGATCTCAAGTTTGAGCCCAGCTTGGCAACTTAGCAACTTAGTGAGAACTTGTCTCAAAATAAACAATAAAAAAGGCCTCAGTGGCAGAGTCTCCCTGGGTTCAATCTCCAGTACCTCAAAAAAGAAAAAAATATCAAGTAGGGCAGGCACAGTGGCACAAGCCTATAATCCCAGCACTCAAGAGGCTGAGGCAGGAAGATTGCCAAGAGTTTGAGGCCAGTTTGGGCTACAGAGTGAGTTCAAGGCCAGCTTGAACTACATAACAAGACTCTGTCTCGAAACAGCAAACAAAAATCCTCAGGCAGGCCTGGTTATGAATGTCTATGAACCCAGTTACCTAAGAGCCTGAGGCAGGAGGTCTTTCAAGTTCAAGGCCAGCCTAGGCAATTTAGTGAGACCTCAAATATTCTGTAAAAGCAGGACAAATGACAAAGGTACAACAGTGCATATGGACCAGGCATGGTGGTTCTGTAATCCCAGAACTCAGGAGGCTGAGGCAGGAGGATTGCCATGAGTTTGAGGCCAGCCTGGGCTACCTAGTGAGTTCAAGGCCAGCCTGAACTATGTAGACTCTGTCTCAAAAACAAAACAATAGTGCATATGGAGCCCATGACACAAGGCAGGTATAGGGCCAGCCCTGACGACCACAGCAGACCTGGTTTTTCTTCTCATGAGTCCTCTAGTCTGGGGAGGGAGTCCGACCTGAGAGACAAAAAGCAAGTTCACAAACATGGAGCACAGGTGAGAACTCCTCTCACCACCTGAGTGGCTGCAGGGCGTTTGGGAGAGGAAAGGCACTGGGATGAGCAGGCACTGGGAGGTGAGGGCACAGAAGGTCTCTCAGAGTAGGAGGCTTGGCCAGGGGAGGCAGCATGTGAGGTGCTGAGGCTGGAGGGAAAACACTGGAGGCTTCCAAAGGGTAGAGACACTCACCTCAACCACACCTGAGAATATCTAGGTGCATAAATGAATGAGTGAGTACTCAAATGAAATTTAAATTAAGCTGGGCGTGGTGGCGCACGTCTGTAATCCCAGCACTCGGGAGGCTAAGGCAGGAGGATCGTTTCGAGTTTGAGGCCAGTCTGGGCTACAAAGTGCGCTCAAGGCCAGCCTGAGCTGCATAGCGAGACCCTGTCTCAAAAAGACAAAAAAAAAAAAAAACAACTAAAATTAGCTCAAGTAGGACAAGGAAAAGAACAGCATGAAAGGGAGCCTGACAGTGGGCATCAGCTAGATTACATAGTCGTGAATATCTTGGTGAATGGGCTTAGAGTAGGTTCTTTTTTTTAAGAATAAGTTATTGTTTGCTTGTTTTTTTCATCTTGTACTGGGGACTGAACCCAGGGCCCTCACAATGAGCTCCATTCCTAGTTCTTCAGACTCTTTTTAAAATTTTTAAGATGGGGAGGGTCTCACTAAGTTGCCTTGGATTTCTCCTGTCTCAGCTTCTCAGAGTGCTGTGACTACTCTGTTTTCATTTTAAGAAGTCACTGTGAGCCGGGCATGGTGGCACACACCGGTAATCCCAGCACTTGGGAGGCTGAGGCAGGAGGATCACCGCAAATTCAAGGCCAGCCTGGGCTACATAGTGAGTTCAAGGCCAGCCTGGACTATATAGCAAGACCCTGTATCAAAAAAAAGAAAGAAAAAAGAAGTCTCTTTGACTCTGGAGGAGACACTGGCCGGCAGAAGAGGCAGCCTGAGACCCTGGCAGTGGTGAGGCCGAAAGCAGTAGAGATGCGGGACTAGAATCCAGATGAGCCGCACAGGCTCCGGCTCACGAAGTGCAGCCTCTCGCCCCCGGGGGACCCCGGCGGGGAACACAGCCTGGAGGGGAGAGAAGGGGTTTCACACACAGTGAATTTTAGTTGCCTTAATAAAGATCCGAGTGAAAAAGCTCGGTAGGCTGTGGAACGTGTGGCTGGGGCTCCGAGGACTGTGACATCCAGATGGTCGCGGAACCTTGGGGGACGAGGGGGAGACTCCGGGGGACAGGAAAGGGTGAGCGGAGGACCGCGCTGCACTCGGCCTGGATGGGCTCCGGGACAGAAGAGGAGATGCGGGCGAGAAGACCGCCGGGCGGCGGACGGGAGAGCGCAGGTGCACACGCGAGGGCGGGAAAGGCTGGGGCAGAGCGGGGACGGCAGTGCGTGGGGGATTTATCACCGTGGACGTGGCAGGAGACATCAGCTGCTATAACATACAAGCGATGCTCACTGTCCTCTCAGCCTTGGGGGAGGAGACTGCGTTCCAGGGACGGTATTTGGGAATCCGGGCACAAGGGCCTGGATCCCAGGGACCTCCGAGGTCACTGAAAGGTCTCACTCTGTAATTCGGACTGGTTTTGAACTCACTATGATGCCAACTCATGTCAGTCCTCCTGCCTCAGCCTCCCGAGGGCTAAGATTGTGGAAATGTAAAAATAAGGCTTCTTGTGACTCATAGATAAGCAGTTTCAATAGGTTTGAGATTGCCCGGAAAGGAGGGAGCGCCAGAAGGGCCAGAGCATTATCTTCTGTCCTTGGAAGAAAGAACATCTGGTGTTGACACAGATATCTCCCCCTCCCCTTG